ATGTGGGAAGTGTGTCAAGATAGCAGGTTGACGATTTAAGGTGCTGTACTATTTCTTCCAAAATTTTGCTATCAATTTCTTCAAAAGCAGACATAGTATCTTCTTTTTGATATTACGGTCAAATCTGTCTGACCTCTGCATAACTTGAGGATGTGCTAATTGCCTTCCTGATATTAATTATCTTCTCAGAAAAGAAGGAAACAAACTCATTGCATTTGCTGTCGGAGAGCATTTCACTGGGAATCTGACTTGGGGGGTTTGTCAGTCTCTCAACAGTAGCAAAAAGAGTGCGAGTGCTGTTTAAGTTACTATTTATAAGGTTTGAGAAGAAGGTCTGTCTAGCTGTGGCTAGTTCCACACTGAAAGCATGAAGGCTGTCTTTATAGATGCTATAGTGAATTTCAAGTTTCGTCTTCCTCCACATCCACTCAGCTTTTCTGCATTGTCTTTTCATACTCTGAACTGCTGTTGATTTTCTCCAAGCTGATTTTTGTCTGCCAGTATTCTTGCTGACTTTTACAGAAGCAATATCATCAATAACATTCTTAAATTTTGAGTTAAAGGAATCAAGGAGAAGATCAACAGAGTCTGCAAAAATGCTTGGTGTTAAAGATATAGCCTTCATAAATAGCACACTAGTGTTCTCGTTAATGCATCTCTTTCTGACAGAGACAGTCGTAGCAGAGATCAATATATCAAATAAAATACAGAAGTGATCAGATAGTGCTACATCCTTAATAACAATGGATGAAATGTTGTTATAAGTCAGAAATGACAAGGTGGGTGTGGTTGTGAAATGACACGGTGGGCGTGGTTTTCAGATTATGACGCGTGTCACTCTGTCTCTATAGTCACAAGATGTAAATAAATAATATAACCTTTCTGCTTCATACACTGTTTTTTTTATATCTGCATTATCAATAAAATAACAAAAGCCTTTGTGGTGACATATCAATCACATACAGGCAAAGTTTGTTGATTCTAGCACTGCATTGGTTCCTTCTATATGCATTCATAGCCCAGCAGTGCTACTTCCTTTAAAGCAATGCTTATGTCGAGGTTGAAAGTAGTGTTAACCAGAGGTTAAATACATGTTAACCCAGGTCTAAGCACAGTGTGAAAAGCCGAACAGGTTTTTGAAAGGCATACTTACATACTGTCCAGGCAGTCTGGAGGCTGTTTCAGACGGTTGCCCTGCCTCAGATAATCATAGATTTCACTGTTTTCCACTCCAGGGTACGGTGTCTGACCTCGAGTCGCGATCTCCCACATTGTCACTCCAAATGACCACTGCAGGACAGACAAATGCACCTTCATGAACAGTATGAATTCTGAGAGAGAACAGTAGATGTAAAACAACAGTCAATATCGTTTCAGAGGTGTAGCAAGTTATTACATTTTGGTATCTTTGGAATAATGTGCACCAATGCATCATTCTCCATAAGACCAGGAACATGTATTAATGTCAGTTATGAATCTCTCTGTACACCATAAATTATTTTTAATGCTCTAGTGTGAACAAGGATCAGAAACGCGTCTGCCGCTACGCTTGTTCAAGCTCTGGAATGCTCTGAATCGGTTCTTCATTGTGTTTATCAAATCGAGGACGTCTTACCACGTCACTCTTAGTGGTGTACACTCTGTCCGCCAGACTCTCGATGGCGATCCACTTGACAGGCATCTTAGAGATGCGCCCTTGTCTGTAGTAGTCTCCATTATAGATCTTCTTAGACAAGCCAAAGTCCGCCACACATACATTCATGTTCTCATTTAACCTGGTTATCAAATACAACACACAAATCAGTATATTATATGTAGATTTCTGTAGTAAGTAGCAGCGTGCGAAGCATATTAGAAGTGTTTGTTTCCCATCAGCACTCACATGCAGTTTCGAGCTGCCAGGTCTCTGTGGATGAATTTTTTTCCACTCAGGTACTCCATTCCTCTGGCGATATCCGTCATGAACTTCACCAGCATCTGAGAGGGCAGATACTACACGAAGCAGACAGAGAGATTCTAGATATTTAAAACATCAATGAATTTAGTCATCGAACAGCTGTACAAAGCAAATGCATCTTTCAATGTAAGTAACATTTGTCAGAGGACTTTTTTTCTGGCTTTGACAAGTAGGTGGTGCCAGAGACTTTACCATATTCTGCTCTGACCACAGACATGCGTCCACTGACAATAACAGAAATCATAGACCAGTGGGCTTTAAAAACACTTCTGCAGTACAACACGTTCCTGAGAGAATGCACTGTGTTTGTTGAGAAAGTGCCTGACGTCTGAGCTTTAGAGGAACTTCATTTATGATTACAAAGGAGTTTCACAATGCTGACCATGAGGATGTGCATCTAACCACAAAACAAACCGGTCATCAATTAGATCTTGACACAGTCATTCACTGTGATTGCATCATGGCCTTGCTTTCCTTCACAGTGTTCACATTAATCAGGGATGGTATAATGTTTGTAAAAAAGACTTCGGTAACGCTTTAGATTACAACCCGCAATGTACTGCGTAAGTAAACAGAATTTACAGCGTAACTTTTTTGTAATTACAGTGTACCTATTCAGTACCTCCGTGTAGGTATAAGGTAACAATATGCGAAGTTTGGAGAATAAAGGAGTAATAATCTGTAAAATTACAAATTATTTCTACTGTAAGTATTTTGAAACTAAGGGGTACCTATTCTAATATTACAGGGTATGTATGACCTCTTATATTTGCAAGCGATTAAGCAAAAACATACAGTGTACTTTTTTATAGCCTACACATATAAAACACGCTGGTAATTGTTTCAATTCAAACGCTCGGTTGAGACTGTTGGGTTAGGAAGCTGGCTTGATGTGACCCAATTTGGGTTGATATCAGTAAGTGTGCGACGAAATCCGTGACTGCGGTGCTTAAGACGGGAACATGTGTGGAAAATAGGAGAAAACGAATCGAAGCGCAGAAGAGGGACAACTTTGAAACTGTCTGGAGTGTGTTCCTTTAAACCTGCAGCAGTGAATGTGGTGAGCGCGAACTGGAAACAGCTGGAATGGCGCATGAGACGAGTCTATCCGTGTTTGCGGCGCTCGTGACAGGAATATGTGTAGAAAATACAAGAACACTAATCGACACGAAGAGGAGAGAGATTTTTGAAACTGACTGGAATGT